ATGAGCATATGTTGCAGGGCCTCCAGACTTAAATCCATGTGAAGATGGTGGTGGTCTTATGTATGTGTTAACATTACATTGTGGACAGGTAGACTACTTTCCTTTTGCTAGTGGGAGTGTTAAATCACCTCTCGGAACATTAGTTCATTGCTGGTGGATATGCTAAATATTTCTAACGTCTAATTTTCTAAGTGTATAGACGTCATTTTTAATTCATATGGGATAGAACCAGTTTTGCTTGCAAAAAGCAAACTGTTCATTGGATCATTGGGCTTAAGTTTTAGGTTGTGGTAGATATAATAAGAATTATATCTTATAATTTCTAGTATAATATTATATATCTCAATATAAATATATATGTGACAGTGTTTTTCTGACAGATGCAACTTGGTGGAAATGTCATAAGTGTTGGTCTGCCTTTGTTTATAGTTTTCAGATGTGTATATGCAGTTTCTTATATAACAGAAAAATTGCCACATGAGTCAAATAGCATAGGTTAGAAAAGTTCTCATTTGCCAAAAAAAGTGACTTTCATCAATAGTGAGTTGTTTTTGATTTAAAATGTTTCTATCTGTAGAGGCATTTTATAAGTTTTTATGGGGATACTAGCAATGGGATGTGAAACCTGAGTTCATTAGGTCATGAGGTGATCAATGGAACACTTATGTGTATACAATATACATGGTTATATGTTTTGGAAAGCATAGAGGCTATTATGTCTGCATGTTTCTAAATACATATACACACACGTAAACACACACAAATCTATATATATATACACACACACACACACACATATAGTGAAAGCTTTTGTTCCCTCCCTCACATAGGCAGATCACTTATGTGTGTAAATAATTGAGCAGCTGGAGGGGAATTTTGTTACATGTGTATAAAACAGTCAAAATATATAATTGTTTTGCTTTAATTGTTTAGTCTTTGATTTGTAGGAATTACTGACACGTGTATTTGTGTGTATGCGGGTCTATATATACGCATACATATCACTGTAAAAACAACATTTTTTGTCATAGGGTAGAAATATTCTTAAGTTGCCAGAGCTATTGTTTGGCTGCTAAATACGTAGTAGACAAATGTTACCTTTTGCTTTTTAGCATCTGCATACAGATTACTAATAGGCATATATTGTGACCAGTAAACCACTAGACAAGGGCAAAACACTTTAGTTTGATCAGTAGAATTGCTATGCCATGTTTATGTGGGATTTATTTGATTGATGCAGAATATATAATTATATTGTATATAGAAGATAAAGCAACATTTTTGAATATTCAAGTTCTGCCATATTTTTGGAAATATATTTTTATTCAAAAGTAGAATCATTGTTTGCCAATAGAGTTAGCATCTTTGTGTGCTTGTGAGGTTTGATTTTGAGGGTTTTCTTGGTTTTGTTTTGGGTTCTGGAGTTTTAAAAAATGAGATTGTCTTTGTCTAAAAAAATTTTGATATAAAAATGTACATTCTTATATTATTTTTTCTTATTCCAACCTAATTGGTGGCTTGTCCCTTCCTGTGTTTATTGGACTGTTGGGTGCCTGGATAGAGCTGGAGACCATTTGACTGCTGTGTGAATAATAGATAAGCGTCTTGAGTAACATCGAATTTCCTAGGTATATAGAAACACCCACCATGCACATATATGAACATACAGAATATATGAATGTTAAAATATGGTGAAAACAATCTTTTGCCAATAGAAGTGTTAACCTTTATTTTTTTTTAAATTGGTGTGTATGTGGAGGTTTATTCAATTGTTAGTTGTGTCCATGTTTAATATGTGCAGAATATATAGATGTACAGAAATTTGTTATATTTGGTGGATATATTTTACTTAAAACTATAGGACAGAAGTTGTTTATGTTTGTTGAAGTGAAATGGCATACCAAACCTGTATGGTACAGTGGGATGTTTAGATTGCTGTGTGTACAGTCAGGTTATATCTTTAAAATACCTATTCTTTCCATGTTAATATATAGACATTGCTGGTATATATTAAAAAGTCAGAGGTCTTTTTATGAATATAGGCATTAGCTTCCTGATTCGCGTGGAGAGGTGTGTTGGGTACTTTGTCATTTCGTCTCATCTCTGTGATGTGCAGTTGTCACGTCAGCCCTCCCGTGAGTCTGCGGGTTTTGCTTCTGCAAGGAAATGCAGCTGGAAAGTACAGCATTGGCAGAATCTGAAACCCGAGTAAACAGAGCGCCTCCTTTTCATAACCATGGGTTCTGAAGAGCTGAGGGAGTTGAGTATGCGCTGATTTTGGTATGGGGGCAAGGTACAGGTACAAATCCTCCATGGATATTGCTAGACAACTGTAAAATCTTTAGTTTTTTTTTGTTTTATAGACAGTGTGGATGTGCATATATTGCAGGCATCACTTTTTTAAACTATGCTTAACCCTGCAAATGATTTTAAGAGCTCTGTGTGGGTGGCTTTCTTGGGTTTACTATTAAATAGCTGTGTTTATCATAGTTGTTCTATAACATTTCAACTTTGTAAATATATAGTTGGTTGATAAAAAGGATAGAGACATTTTTCTTTTGATGATAGATTGTTCTTTCCCTTTGTGTAGTCTTCATTGTGTTGCTGGGATTGTTACTTGCCCATATTTAAGCTTATATATTAAATGTACATATGCTGTCGTGTTAGAGAGGGAGACTGGTTCCCTCCACCACATTTTTATTTAAAAGTAAAAATTAATTTTTATTAAATTGTTTGGGTCAATTTCATGTAAAAATAACCTCTGTATTGAAAGATGTCTCTTGACGGGGTGTGGAGGCTCACGCCTGTAATCCCAGCACTTTGGGAGGCCAAGAAGGGTGGAACACCAGGTCAGGAGTTCGAAACCAGCCTGGCCAATATGGTGAAACCCCATCTCTACTAAAAATACAAAAATTAGCTGGGCGTGGTGGTGCACACCTGTAATCCCAGCTACTCGGGAGGCCGAGGCAGAAGAATAGCTTGAACCCAGGAGGCAGATGTTGCAGTGAGCCAAGATCGTGCCACTGCACACTCCAGCCTGGGCAATAGAGCGAGACTCCCTCTCAAAGAAAAAAAAAAAAAGGGAAAGGTATATCTTACTATCCTTGATGTACTGAGGTTCATGATGCAATTCATTTTTCTTAAGCGCATACTATAGAATCTTTAAATTATATGATTCTGTGTTCATTAGTGGCATGGCAATAACCAATACAATTTATTAAATAATCAGTAAATGAAATATTTAATTTTAAACATCTAGTATTTCTAGATGTTTAGAGAGTCTCACGAAGTATGATTTTTTAAAGTATCTTGTAAATTTGTTAGTACTGTTGTCTTTTGCAGTTAACTTGGCAATGAAATTGATTATTGATACACAGGGTCTTGGAGCTAAACAAAATTTATCTTGTTTTAATTTGGATATTAGAAGGAGGAAATGACACGAGACTCTGCATTGTACCTGTTATTATAGCTTACCATTATATCAGATACGAATTGCATATTTTTAAAAAACTTAGATTAAATGTCATGTAAATGCATTTGATCTTTCTAGATATACTTCCTGATATCATAATTTTTATTTCCTGTTAATATTCAAGATATAAATGACTTCATTAAAGAGATTTTCTACTACCTCTAGGAACTATACAAAATTCTGTATGTGTTCCCTTGGTTGCATGACAATATTCAAGACAACTTTGTAAATAATAGATAAAATTTTTAAATTTTTAACATCTAGTCTTTCTAGATGTATAGAGTCTCATAAAGTATAATTTTGTAAATAAGTCATTGTAAAATTTCATGGTTTCATTGTGTTTTGCAAATGTCTTGGCAGTGAACTTGATAAAATTTTGGGCTTCTTGACCTATACATATTTTGGTATCTAACCTTTATTGGGTTGTTAGTGTAAGGAATAAGTTAAAAGAATGTGTATTTTCAACTTTAAATTATAATCAGAAAGAAAATATATTTAACCATTGTTTAGTGTTTCTATTATATATTAAAAACTTCAGTCTTAATTTTGTAGTTACATTGTTGATAGGGCATTATATAAATATACTTTTATAGTCATTGTAGGAAATGTCTTTTATAAGGAAAAATTTCTTCTACCTCTTTGAATTACACAGTTTTGTATTTACTTGGACTGCATGACAACATTCAAAAAACACTTTAACAGATAAAAATGACATTTTCTAAAGATCTAGGTTTGCTAGATGCATGGAGTCTCAACAAACTATAAATGTGTAAATATTTCATTGTAAAATATCATAAATTGACTCCTTTAAGTTTTCAGTAGTACAATAGGTAATCAATAATTGGCCTCTTGGGACTGTGTAACATTTTGATGTTTGTGTGTTCTGAGACAGAGCAATAGATTGCCTCCGTATCTTTTAAACATTAAGGTCTCTTGTATAAGAAAAATAACCATTGTGGGTTTTTTGTGCATCGTATACTGATATGAAACAAAGAAACAAAACCCCCTGGATATTTTATCTTTAGAAAGATAGAGGAAGATATGAGAAGGGAATGGTCATTGTAAATTAGATAGATACATTGAGTGTTAGAAGATTATTTAATTGTTCTTTTGTTATTTGTACTCTTTGCAAATTTATTTAAATGCATATCCATGTATATCATAAGTATTCACGTGCGTGTCTAAATTTAATTTAGTGGCATAGATCTATTTCAAGGGTATTAATCTTTCACTCATGTACTGCTTTGTGTTTTATTTTCATTTAAAAAATTGTGGTACTAGTGCCTGGGCATGGTGGCTCATGCCTGTAATCCCAGCACTTTGGGAGGCCGAGGCGGTCGATCACCTGAGGTCAGGAGTTTGAGACCAGCCTGGCCAACATGGTGAACCCCCGTCCCTGCTAAAACTACAAATATTAGGTGGGCATTGTGGCGGGTCCCTGTAATCCCAGCTACTTGGGAGGCTGAAACAGGAGAATTGCTTGAACCCTGGAGGTTGCAGTGAGCCGAGATTGCACCATTGCACTCCAGCCTTGGCAACAAGAGCAAAACTCTGTATTTAAAAAAAAAAAAAAAAAAAAAATTAAAAAGAATTGTGGAACTAGTGTTTTATTTCTAAGCTTGCAGATATTTCTAGAATTCCACTTACTGTTACATCTAAATGTATGGTGATTATTCGTTAAATAATAAGCAGGTCTGTAAACATTTTATTCTCTAACCTCTTTCCACATTTGTATGAGTATAGAAAAACTGTGGCTGTGAATATTTTTTACTTTTTGATAGCTTTTAAAAACTCAGATATGTGATAATCAGAGATTTCAAGTTTACTTACAGTGTAAATTAGGAAAATTTTTATAAAGATTCCATCCAGTATTGATCAAAAGTTTAAATTGTATGTCTTTTTAAGCAGCAGTTTGGCAATGACAATCAAATTGATACTATGTAAAAGTTTTGAAATGTTATAGCTGGCTACTGGGGTTTTATCTATTCCAGTTCTTGAAAATTTACCAAATACAGGTTGGCTATAAAATCATAACTGAGGTATCTCAATAAATCAAAGATTGCAGTGATTATAGCTTCTTTAACATGAATGTAATTCTAACACTAAAAAATTTCTATGTGGAATATGTTTTGTAGTCCTAAATTGATATTTTATATCATTTTTCAATGAACAACTAGCTGTTTACAGAGGTCTGTGCATATGTCTCTAGTTTTTCTAACTGAAATATTAATGGTTAATTATAAAAATATGAATTATATGTGGGGCTTGTCATTCTGACATTTAATACTTCAGTGTTGTGGTAATGGTGATTATTTAAATATACTGTTTGAAATTGTAACACATGAGTTAAAATCAAAAGATTGTATATGTACATATTTGTATATTACTACATGACAAAAATCTAGAAAGCATATGATTCACATGAAAATTGTTTGGAGGGACATGACAAAGTTTTAACAGTCCTGTGTAGTGAATGGAGAATAGAAGGACTACTTCTACTTTCTGTATCTGAAATTTTCAAAAGCTATTTCAAAATGAACATTGAAACAAAAGGAAATTTTAGAGACAACCACTTTGTGCCTGTCTTCATCCTTGACATTCAACATCCTAGGAACAATGGGCTGCTGTATTCAACTTCTTGTTCTCAACAGCATTATGAATGGTTTTTGATTGATCTCACAAAGAGCATGTGATTTAGACATTAATGCAGCAACTACCATGAAACGGAGTATTGGATTACCTGAGGAAAGAAGCAGAAGATGGAATTTGAGGTAGGTGTCAAACAGTGAAATTTCTGTTGAGAAACAGATGAGTGAAAGGAAATAGTAACTGAAACATTCTATAAGGAGAGTACATTTTAATAGTGGTGACAATGCTGTATTTGTGGGTACCGACTAGATCAAGATGTTGGAGGAGGTGTCTCTTGGGATATGTTGGAAGTTATCCTTCATTAATTTGGTATAAACTGAAAACAGATTGCTTCCTTCCTTTTAAAGTGGTTGAGTCTTTGATGGATTTAAAGTAGGCCTTTGGGGATTTATAGATCATTCAGAATTAGCAGGGGAAAATTTTAAATATTCTCTGCGTCTTTCTAAAAGGTGTGGTTTAAAGTTGGTGAGAAAGTGAAATGGTTGCCGGTTGAACTTGATTTTCTCTATTCACTATGCCAGGCTAGCCTAAAATTATCCTAATGGATATGTTCTGGTGCCTGATTTGTATCTAAATGTTTCTGTATTGGTTACTGTTTTTCTTAGGCAGTCAGGATGAGTGCAAAACTTATTTGCAGCTAACCTGCAAATGGAATCATCCGGAACATCCCTTTCTTACGGAGTCCCTTAATTTACAACTTAACTGCAAACATAGGTAAGAAGGTTCTGGTGCTATTTGAGGGTGAGGTTTTGGTGAGGTTTTGCCTAAGCTCAGGAAAATAATACTGGTACAAGTGTATTTCCTGGCCACCTTGGAATTATCAAATGAGTTAGTTGTTAAAATATATTTTATCAAAGTGAAGGTATAGTTTGGTTCCCAGACCAAACTCAGGGTCGGGCTGCTATTTCTCATGGTCCAATAATGAGATACAGATGAACAGGGGAGGAAGAGTTAGAGCTAGTTACAGGTAGAAGGCCTGGAAATTGTCGCCACACCAATTCAAAATTACAAAGTTTTTCAGAGCTTAAATACCTTCTAAGCTATACGTGCATGTGTAAGTGTGTATCTAAAGACATAAGTGATCTATAACTAAGGTCTGAGTCTTAGAGACCTTCCTCTGGAGCCTCAGTAAATTTGTGTAATCTAAATGGGTCCAGGTGCTGAGGTGATTACCCTTATCTTGTCTCCTACTAAATCATGAAGGTTTGGGGACTTCCTTCATACCCCCAGTAAACTTACTCGTGGAGGCCTAGAGAGTTTCTTCAGACCCCCTATAAAACTTGTTAATCATGCTTTAAGGTTCAAGAGAGGCCTAGGAAAAATTTGGTGGGCTTTTGTGACATTCCAACCTTTGGATAACGAAATGGCTCTTTCAACTTCTAATATGTAACTTAATCATTCCGTCAGTACTGAAACAGCTGTTAATGGAGGCCTGTTTAGTGGAACCTGGTCTGCCACAGGTGCACAGGCACACACAGTACCTTTAATTAGTTTGCTTATTTATGGTCCAACGCGAAAATATAACTAATAAAAGAAATGACCAGGCATCTAATTATTAGAAATTATAAAATCGGCAATATGTGTATTTTCATAAATGTACAGTTTTCACAAAATGTTTTCACATGCAGTTCTTTGATATGATAAAGGGTGAAGTTCATGGAAACCACAAAAAGATACTGATACTGAAAACTATTAAAGTCATTACTGAGGTTGTAAGTTGACTTTACTATAGGATTGATAATGGGAAGTGTTTCTAAATGGTGACATAACCTGTAATAAAGTTCAGCATGAGCATGCACTTAACCTGCCACCTCAGCTGTTTCATTAGAGTGGTGTATAGCTCACTTCACAGTGTTTCTTCTTTTTCCTTGTCAGGAGACGGTAGTTCCAAGAAGGAACATTTTATCGTCTTTGTTTTTAATCTCAAGAATGGTACCTGCCATCAGTGAATGACTTGTTGCAGTGCTTTCATTGAAGTGTTCTTCATTCCCTCGGCAATATGATTGTAAGGGCAGTTGAGTGCTAACTTGATTGGGAGAGGGGCGGTTTGGTTAGATAGGACTTGATATATTCTGTTTTTCATAAATTTGGTATTTTTTTCTGGCAGCTAGTTGACATTCAGATCTGGTTGGTTACATACTGCTATGTAATTATCCTGAAACAAGGGCATAAAACAATATTGTTATGTCCATGGATTGCATTGGTCTGACCATGCCCAGGACAGTTTAGGAATTGTATCTTCTCCAAAGTTTCATTGTAGCTTCTGTGTTTTTAGGATAGTTACTATTTCTTTCTCATCAGATAGGCTGAGCTCTTTTTGTTATTATCATTTAAATATTTAAGCATTGTTGTCATGTATATTGTGCAGAAATGCATATACTGAAGGTAATAATTCTGTATGTGAACAAGTGACCTAGAGGTAAAGGAATCCGAATACAAAGACATTGTGTGGATAATGTTGGAGAGGTCCGTTTTTCACAAGACATAGGAAGGAAAGAGGCTGGGCGTGGTGGCTCCTGCCTGTAATCCCAGCGTGAGGTGGAGGTGGGTGGGTCGGTCACTTGAGGTCAGGAGTTCAAGAACAGTCTGACCAACATGGTGAAACCCCGTCTCTACTAAAAATACAAAATTAGCTGGGCGTGGTAGCATAATCCCAGCTGCTTGGGAGGCTGAGGCAGGAGAATCGCTTGAACCCAGGAGGCGAAGATTGCAGTGAGCCAAGATCACGCCATTGCACCCCAGCCTGGGCAACAAGAGCGAAACTCTATCTCAAGAAAAACAAACGACAACAACAACAAAAAAAAAAAAAAAAAAGGAAAGAGAGCTAACATCTGACCTCCTTTATTATTAAAATACTCCAAAAGGAATTTTGATCCACATGCTCTTTCTCCATAATAGAATGAATGTTGCATATCATTTTACAGACAAATTTTATTAGTTCTTGCCGATGATATAAACTTTGCTTCTAACCTTTTCCCATTTTTCCAACTGTGTTCTCTCAGGTGATGACTGAAAAAGGGAACCTGTGCTACTATTTGTACCATCATCTTCACCAAAATCAAAAAATGCTTTTTATGATGTATGGAGACACTCTTCATGTGTGTTTCAGTGGACATTCCTTGCAGATAGAAAAAACTGAGAAAGCTCACTTTTGGAAAGTGACCTAAAAAGTGTCATTGAAGTGAATTTTAAGTAGGCACGACGATTGTTTTCATGGTTGCTGTTGGATCATGTCTCAGGAGCTGGAATGACAGACGTTACTGAACAAAGAAATCAGGATAGTGAAACTTAAAGAGTTTCATCTCAGTGCTTTCATAAGTATGAAGTGCATGTATTTATAATTTTCACTAATCACAGGGTAAATATAAAATTGATTCATTAAAAATGTTTCATAAGAATTCAAAGGACATAGAATTTTGTGAAATGTAGTAGTTTTACTTAAGTGCCTTTCTCTATTTCTACCCCCAAGCCAATTTTTTAGAAACTAGTTGATACATAAGTAGTTTTGGGGGGATGATACACATTTTCTATATAGTAAACATGTACTTGGATGTGTGTGGATGTGTATCTGATTAGTTTGTTGGAGTGATTCCTATGGTTTGGAACTGCTGGGGCCATGTTTAGGCAAAAATCTATATTTTTGTGTAAACTCCCCATGACTAGAGCAAATTTCCCCAGTATTTGAGAATTCTTCATTTCGTAAAGCTGTACAAACATCAGATAATCAATATTCGTAAGGATCGATAATGTAATGTATAATGATATTGCTTTCTGAGCTATTAATGTTAACGATATCATCTTAATATTGCCTTAAAACTCATTTGTGCTATTCCATTTTCCTCTGTTCCTTTTATGTTCACTTCCTTTCTAATGTTAGTCTCCTCGTACTGATTTCTGAAGAGTTCATTTGTGATTACAGATGTTAACATTTTGTCTAGAATAGCAAATATGTTTTTTCTCATTCATTTTACTATGGTGTTTTATTTTTTGGTTATATAGAAGTTGTATATTGAAATATAATCTTGTTCTGTTTTATGACTTTGGAGTTTTGTGTGTTTTTTTAAACATGTTTACATTAATATCATTTATTTGTATTGCCTTCTATTTCAGCAGTTATTTTGTCATTTCTTTTTCCATTAACCATCATTCTGGTGTTAATGAATGCATTACATATTTAGTTATCTCTTAAATTCTACATAAAGAAAATTTCCAGGTAAAATTGACTACACATCTGTTAACTTGCCTTACCATCTTATTGACACTTTAATAATTACTAATGATTTATACTGTCTTATCTATTCCATTGAGTTCTATCTCATTTCTCTTCTTTTTCAGAATATTCCCTGTCTATACTTGCATTTTTTTCTATCAATTGACACAATTATTTTTGCAAGTTGGAAAAAAATGCAGTATTAATTTCATTTGCAACAAACTTAATAGATTAATTAGGAGAGAATAGATATCTTTAAAATTGAGTCTTCTATCCAACTGCAAGGTAGGTCTTTCTATTTTTAATTGAATAATAATTTGGGGATATTGCTAGTGCAGTTTTTAAAAGTATTTTTTAATACTAGGCATTTTTTAGTTATTAATTTAGTGATTTGAATTAGTCATTCAAGTTATCTAATTGATACGTGAAAACTTTTTGTATGCCTTTTCTAGTAGTCTTTACTGAATTTCTAAAATTATGACTTTCTTGAACAATTTGTCATTTTAATTATCTTGATAAAGTACATTCGTAAGTACTTCTAGGATATATGGAAGTACTTGGCAATTGGACTGTTAATTGCAGTCTGCTTAGGTCATGGTTGTTTTTGTTCTTACTGGCATTTCAGTAGTCTTTTAGAAGAAGATGTTTTACCAAATGTGGTGACAGGTTTAATAAAATTTCTTTTTGTATAGTTGAAAAACCTGTCCTTATAATTATTAAGGTTAAAATTAACGTATTCCAAAATTGAACATTATTCCATCCCATGAATGAAGTAAATTATATTTTAGTATATACTCCTTGATTGTAGTTGTTATAATTTCATTTGGAATTTCTGAAATGATTCTTAAACAGCTTTTTACTTGTTCTGTTGTCAGAGGTTTTTGATGTTTTACTGAGTCTTTGAAACCATTTTGAGTATTTCTGGCACAGGCTAGAAACAAGTAATGTTTTTCTTTAATTATGTAGAAATGTTGGCTTAAAAAGGTGTTGAAATAATAGTGTGTGTTTTTTTTTTTTAAAAAGTTATTTATCTTTTGTCCAAAATCAACTAAGCGTTTATGTAAACTTGTGTTTTTTTGGAACCCTTTATTCTATTTCCTTGTTCTTTGTGTTTGTCTTTATGCCAGTATCACACTGTTATGATTATTGTAGCTTTGTAGTTAACATTTTGAAATTGGGAACTTTGACTCTTACAGCTTTGTTCTTTTTCAGGTTTGTTTTGCTCATTTCAGCCCTTTGAAATGCTATATGAGTTTTAGGATTTTGTTTTTAATTTTTGCCAAAAATATGGGAAGTTTACTGGGGATTAAATCTGTACATTGCTATGAGTAATATTGACATAAACAATACTAACTCTTCCAGTCCATGAACATGGGATGTCTTTTTATTTACGTCGTTTATTTCTTTCAGAAATGATTTGTAAATTTCATTGTACAGAAAATTTTCTTTGATCTTACTGGTTAAGTCACTAAGTATTGTATTTTTAAAATGCTATTGCAAGTGGAATTGTTCTTTGAATTTCCTTTGTGAATTATTCATTGCTATTTTTGCTTGCTGAATTTGTTGCCTGGTATTTTGTGGAATTTATTAGTTCTAAGATTTTTTTTATACTCCTAAGGGAAATTTTCAGCCTGTAAATTTTTTTTTTTTTGAGATATAGTCTCACTGTCGCCCAGACTGGAGTGCAGTGGCGCTATCTCCCAGGTTCGAACAATTCTCCTGCCTCAGCCTTCCGAGTAGCTGGGATTACAGGTGACTGCCACCATGCCTGGCTAATTTTTGTATTTTTAGAAGAGATGGGGTTTCACTGTGTTGGTCAGGCTGGTCTCGAACTCCTGAGCTCAAGTGATCCTCCTCCCTTAGCCTCCGCAAGTGCTGCTATTACAGGTGTGAGTCCCCATGCCCGACCAGCCTATAAAATTTTAGTGGATGCCAAGAGAGATACTTTTACTTCTTTTCCGACTTGGGTGTCATTTCTTTCTTTTTGTTACTTGATTGCTCTGGCAAGGATTTGTAATACCATGTTGAAAAGAAGTGGCGAAAGCAGGCATCCTTGCTTTGTAACTGATACCAGAGGAAATCCTTTTAGTATTTAACCATTGAGATGAATGTTGTTTTGAGTTTCATTTATAGCTTTTACTATGGTTATGTGATTTCATTCTTTTCCTAATTTGTTGAATGTTGAGTTTTTTATTCCTTCTTTGTCTTGCTTTGGTAAGATGGTAATACTGGCCCCATAAAATGTGTTGGGGAGTGTTTCCTCCTTGAATTTCTTAGAAAAGTTTGAAAACACTTGTTGTTTAAGTATTTCTTTGATGGAAGATTTTTCATTAATAATTCAGTACTGTTAATAGTTTTGTGTGTGTGGTTTTGATTTGGTGGCCTTTAGTCTCCTAGGTTTCTAGGAATTTGTACATTTCATCTAGGTTATCTAATTTGTTAACATTCACTTGCTTATAGTACTCTTAGAAAATCTGTTAGTTCTGTAGACTTTGCATTATGTTTCTGATGGTAGCAACTTGAGTCTTCCCTCTTTTTTCTGGTCCACTTAGCTAAAGGTTTGTCAGTTTTCTTGATTTTTGCTTATGAAGAACCAAGTGGTTATTTTGTGTTCATTTTCTGTTTTATTCATCTCTGTATCATTCTTTATGTCCTTCCTTTTCCTCTTTGTATTTAGTTTGCTTTTATAGTTCTTTAATTTGTACAGTTTGTTGATTTGAAATTTTTTATGTTACATTAATAGGTGTAAGATTCATAAAACGTTTTATTTTCATTTTCATTCATTCCCACATATTTTCTAATGTTCCTTTTAACCTCTTTGTTGTACTAGTTGTTTTGTGTTTTCTCATGTCCACAAATTTGTGACTTTTCCAAGGCTTTCCTTCTGTTAATTGATTTCTAAATTCATGGCCTTGCTGTGGTCAGAGAAGAGGCTTTTTCTGTCTGCCTTTTCAAAATTTATTGAGACTGAATTTGTGACTTAACTACATTTGTTGTGAAAAATGTCTCATGCACTTAAAGGGGAATGTGCATTTTGTTGTTCAGAGATTGTTGTGTGTATATCTGTTAAATATAATTGATTTATTGTGATGTTACACACTTCATTTTTCTCTTTTTTGGGGGGGAGGGGTGGGGGATGAGACAGTGTTTGGCTCTATTCCCCAGGCTGGAGTGCAGTCGTGTGATCGTGGCTCACTGCAACCTCTGCCTCCCAGGTTCAAACGATTCTCCTGCCTCAGCCTCCAAAGTAGCTAGGATTACAAGCACCTGCTACCACACCCGGTTAATTTTTGTGTTTTTAGTAGAGATAGTGTTTTGCCATGTTGGCCAGGCTGGTCTCAAACTCCTGACCTTGTGATCCACCTGCCGTGGCCTCCCAAAGTGCTGTTTCTGGTTATTCTTCCCATCATTGAGAGTAGGTTCTTGGAAGTCTGCATCTCTTAGTGAGGAAATGTCTATTTCTCCCTTCTTTTATGTCAATTTTTGTTTCATATATTTTGGTGGTTTATTAGGATCATAAACATTGATCATCTTTATCTTGTAATTTTGATTAATGTATGATGTACATTTTTGTTTGTTGTAACATCTTGGATTAACAGTCTGTTTTGTCTGACTTTAACAGTCTACAAAATATCTGCTTCTCTAACACCTTCACTCCTACCCCTTTCAGTTGATGTTATAAAAATATATCTTTAACATATTGTGGATCAAAAAATATTATTTGAAATTCATTTTTTTGTTAAATTGTTTAGAAGATAAATTGTAGAGTTATAATCAAAGTTACAGTAATATTTACTGGTTTTTAGCCTAATGTGTGGTTTTATAATTTATCAATTTCAAGTCATGTAGAATCTAAAAAAGGCAAGAGACTAGACATAGTAGCTCACGCCTGTAATACCCGGCACTTTGGGAGATTAAGGGAGGAGGATTGCTAGAGACCAGGAATTTGAGACCAGCCTGTGCAACATAGCAAGAGGCTGTCTCTACAAAACAAATTTTAACAACAACGAATAGCTGGGTGTGGTGGCATATGCCTGTAGTCCCAGATACTCAGGAAGCTGAGATGCAAGGGTCTCTTGATCCCTGGAGGTTGAGGCTACAATGAGCCATGGTGATGCCACTGCATTTCAGCCTGTGCAACAGAATCAGAGCCTGTTTCTTAATGAAAAGCAAGTGGAGGGACAGTACACCATTGTTAACCTCTCACAATTGCTCAAATATTTACCTTTAACCACATCTTTATTTCTTCATAGGGCTTCCATTTACTGTTTATTTCAACCTTCAGGAGTCTTTTCAGTGTTTTTGTTTGGTGGGGGAGCAGATCTAATGTTAACAAACTCCTGTTGTTTGTACATCTGGGAATGTATCAGTTTCTCCCTTTTTAAAAAAAATTAACAGTTTTGTTGGATATTAGATGCTTAGTTGAGTGGGGTTTGTTTGTTTGTTTTTTTGTTTTTTCTAGCACATTGAATGTGTCCACTACCTTCTGGCCTCGTGAGAAATTAACTGATAATCCTTGTTGTATGATGCCAGTTTTCTATTGTTGCTTTTCAGAATTCTTTCTCTTTTGCTCTTCATAGTTGAAAGATAATGTGTCTCATTGTGGGTCTTTGAGTTAATCTTACTTGGAGTTTGTTCAGGTTCTTACATGTTAATATTCATATCTTTCATCAGATTTGAGAAGTTTCCATCTAGAATTTCTTCAGATATTCTTTCTATTGCATGCTTTCTCTTTTCTGGAAATCCTGCAGTGTGTGTATTGGTTAGCTTGAGTGGTAGACCAGAAGTTGTTTAGACTCTGTGTACCTTTCTTCAATATTTTTTCTTTTTGTTCCTCAGAACTGATAAAATTCTGAAGTTTGCTGATCCTTTTTGTTGCCTGCTGAGATAATGCATTGGAATCCCTCTAGAAAATTTTTCATTTCAGTTAATTGAACGTTTCATGTTCCAGAATTTCATTTTGCGTTCCTTTGTGAAATTTTTTTTGGTCTCATTATTCCATTTTGCTCATGCATCATTTTCTTAACCTTCTCCATCACTTCCTTTAGTTCTTTGAGCAACTTTAAGATAGTTGTTTTAAAAGCTGCTTACCTGTCTTAACATCTTTGAGATTAGAAGTGGTAAACTGATGAGAGCATAGCCTCTCAGTGTTTGTATATCAGAGTGGTGTGTTTTATTTTTTGTTTATTCCTACCCTCACTCCTTCTGCAAGCTGTATGTAAGTTGTTCCAGAAATGTGCACAGCTACCTTGTGTGAGGCTGTAGGAGTTAGGGGTAGGTAATTT